GAATAGTATTTTCCCATCTGTTACTAATTCATAACCGGATTCTCTCTGGTATTGTGACTGAAGTACATTTTTATAATTCATTTCTTGGCTTCAACTGTTGGGGAGTTCTCATCTTTGTTAATTTCACAACATCAGATGTTCACGAGGAAGTTACCATTATGACTCACAGACAACACGTTATCAATTCCAAGAGGGGAGGATATAGCCAGATAAAGCGGCGAGTCGGAGGCTTTAAAAGAGAGCCGCATTTCTAAACAGGCTGTGCTCCAGGAAACTATTGGGGAAACTAGGAAATGGCTCCGGGGCTGGGTTTGAGGATCCCATATGTGTCATTACAGCACACCAGGCCATCCCGGGATCCAACAGCCCTCTCCCTGCCTGTGCCTCCAACAGTGCCAAAACCCATTAACTACTCATTAGCAAAGGTGAATGAGCATTCGACAGAGTAGGGGTGATCTGCCTGGGGGGGGGGCGTGGAAAAGGGAGAGAGAGAGAGAGGGGAGAGGGGAGGATGCTAGAAGGAGTTCTAAGCTTAGACAATTCAACACTTCGGAATTCTAATCCAGAACAACTTCATAACTAAGAGTAAATAAAAGAAAACCGCTATTTCTTAATAACAACAACCACAAGCAAACATTTCCATGAGCCAGAGTATTATTTTCAGCAATCACTGGTTGGCTGACATTCGTGAAACACATGAAGGAGAATTAGACTGAATCTGATGAAGATTTATTATTGTATTGTAGCCCAATCTATGAAGTTTTCAGTAAAGTAAATGATCTTTTCATTTTTTTCCACCCCCATCATACTACTGCTTTCCAGGTCAATTTCTAAGTCTTTGCTTATATGTTGCTAAGTAGAAGCTGTGATCTTTTTTACTATGGAAACAACATTTATTTGGTTAGTTGATATAAAAAACGTAGCAGGAAACAACAAAATGTTAAAGGAAATATACACCTATGACATTTTCCAGAACATGAATCTTGTCTTATTAAACCAGCTGAATTCAATATTTTGGAGCTTTTTATCCTTTTTCCCTCTAATAATATCATATTACTGAACCAGGAGACGTTTAGCTGGTGTAAAAATTGGTAAATTGGTACAGCACGTTAGAAAAACATAATCTCAAAATGGGTCGAGTTTACAATGTTTAAATCATGTGACATAGTTATTTCCAGTGCAGAAGCTTATCCTAAGGAAATAATCCTCATTTGCAGGAAATGTATTTAGCTCAAAGTTATCGACCACAAGGTCATTTGCAATGGTGAAAACTCCAAAACCATCTCGATGAATCACTATCTTGGTTATGAAAAATGTGGAATACCCATTCATTGGATTAAACTGTGGCCATTTATTTTAAAATTTATTTTTATGAATATTATATCATAACAGGGGATGACATCTCAGAGAAAGGTTATTATGGCCAGTTGGGCTTGGAAACTGGTCTATTGCCAGCACAGTATTCTCTGTCTTAGAAATGGAAAGTGGGCAGAATAATAAATAAACCAGACAAATAAACCAAACCAGAAAAACTCTCCATTACAGTTTTCAGACCCAATCCTACTCTGAATCCAGCTTTTTAAAGCTATTCAAACAAGATACAGTCATTATAAAAATAGCAATAGTAGCAACAAAAGTTTCCTTAAAGTTTTCTCTATCATAAACCTGTGATGTATGTATTATTCTCATTTTTCAGATGAGAACGCTGAGAGCTAGAAATACTCAATCACCTCTCTGAGTTCTCAGTTTTTAAGTGGTAGATGGGGCATTGGAATTCGTGTTGGTTTGACACCAAATCTGTGTTCTTAAGCACACAGTATTTAATATGTTTCCCGGGGTTAAAATGAGAGAAGGGAGGAATTAGAAAATATCAAGAGAGGTGATTAAGCATGAAATAAGCATGAAAACCATGAAATAAGAAAATGAAAATAGAAATTAAGGACATTATGAGTTCTGAAATAATCAAATACTCTTTGGAAAAGGGAAAATTAATAAAAAAACTTTTAATCGGACTGTCTATATTCAACATCTTTTATTAGTTTTTGCAGCATTATCTCCAATGACAACAATGGCAACAAAAACATAAAAATAATAAAAATGTCCATCCATAGGGGAATGACAGACTAAATGATGTTCCATCTACATGATAGGACATTATGCAGATATTAAAAATTATCATTATGAAGACTGTGTGGAAATATGGAAAGTGTTTTTGATCAACTATGAAATGAATAAAACAGAACATAAAATGACCCGGACAATATTAATGCCATTCTGTAAAAACATGGGACTATGCTCATGGACTGGGGTAGGACATATAGAAATGAACATAATTGTGTTTTGGATGATATTACTGTATTGAAATATAATTGGCCTATTATATCTTCCTTTCAATTATAGACATAAACATGTACATGTATTTTAGGTATTATAAGTTTCATATCTTTGCTCATTTTAATATATAGAGCTCAACCAGATAAAAGAATAAATTCCATGCATCCATGCAAATGGAATAGAATAATGAACCCAATGTATCCATTATACAGCTTCAAAAATTAACTTTTTTTTTGCATAAGGCATTTTTATTATTGCAAAACTAATATAAAGTTTGGGGAAAATTAATCCCAGGGATCATCAGCAAACTTGGGGAAAAGTCTTGTGTTAGAAGTTGAAAATCTATTGACTTAGCTCAGAACATATCACTCATTTTGGCCCTACATGTGAGCCAAGAACTGCAACCATCTCTCATTAAGAGGTAGGTGTTAAGCGTTAATTCCAAAGAAAATAGAAAAATAAGAACAGAAAAAATCTAGGAATCTGTGGCTGGTTGTTAGAGGAGGAAGATAATTAAGTATAACTTGAATTAGGGAAAATGATTTCTACTACCAGGATCTCATGGCCTCCTGGAATCTAAACCAGGATGAAAGGTTAGAACCATGAGTAAGGTTGAGTTCACCAAAGGGCATAACCACCTCAGCACTAGGTGAGAAAACACGGTTCATACCCACTCACGGGTCTGAGATGTAGATAGAGAATGATTTAGACCATGGGAAGATATTTTAAGGACTATAGCTGAAAACCTTTAGGAAAGGGAAGGAGAGTTCTTTCATTAATTGATCTGTTTATTTATCATCCATCCATCCATCCATCCATCCATCCAATAAAGTATAATTTTGCAGGAATTGAAAGACCTTCAGAAGGTTTGGAACATATAGTATAAGGTAAGTGTTGACACAGAGTTGGCAGTTTTAAGCAGAGGTTTTGTCTAGAAGTTTAGACTTTCAGCACGATAAGAAACCATTGAAAAGTTCTGAGCAGCCAAGTGACAAGATAAAACTTGCCTCTTAGAAGCAAGTGGCTAGTAATTAGCATATGGTCACAAAAGGGCTGCAGATTTTAATTTCCTGCAGAGGCAAACAGAGAAGGGGCGTGTCTGAATTGTCTGACCAAGGCTGGAAAGAGACATTCTAGGAGATTTTTTGACACTGGGCCTTCAGAGCCTCCAATTATTCCAGGAAACCACGCCTTTCTTCTTTAATCATAAATAACCATCATCCATCAATCAGGCATTTAATCTAGCAGGTCCTGCTGAGCTGAGCCTCTATTTTCCATAGTCCATCTTAACTACTATTTTAGATTCACATCAAAGTTGTCACGAGGGGCAACAGGATATAGCATGGAAGACCTGGAAAAACACTAAAAAAATGATCAGGTCCCAATTTTTCCCACTATGATGGCACCATCAAACCCTCCCTGGGTATGTCTGTTTAAGAAACAAGTAGGAAAAATGCCAATTGAGCGCTTTTGAAGGCAGAGCCAAGTCATCTGATTTCAACTCTGCAGACTTCTTCCAGACTTTGTAGAAAAGTATAGAAGATTCACCCTGCCCTAGATTCTTTCCTCTCCACTCCCAAACTCTCCCTAGCAGAAACCCAAAAATATGACAGCTAAATATCATCTATGTTAAATTACTTTTTCAATAGTAGATGATTTATAGTTGATTAGGTAATTAAATACAAGTGGCTGAAAGTAAATCTATTTTTATCATCCCTGTAAATTAAAAGTTCCGCATCATAAAAAATCATGACCATCTTGAAAATGACTAGTCAAGTGCCTTTTAGAGGCAAGCAGGATTTATTGTCAATTAACGTATTGAACTGTAGAGTCAGCATAACCCTGTGCTCGAGACTTTTAAAATTATTGGCTTCCGCTTCTGCACCGCTCCCTATCATGGTAATGAAATGTATCTAGCTATTCTCATATTGAACAATTCCGTAGGTTGGGTTTATATCTCACTATAACAACATTTCATTTTATTATTATCTCCAATCCTCTGTAATGAATACAAATACATTCCTTTTTTTCCATCACGGGTTTATCAATTTTCATTGATTTGCCTATAATGAATACAGTCAGGAAAAGAAAGGCAGACAGATCATATCCATTAAAGTGTCTTTAGCCTCAAAAGTTTGTCTGTGGCATTGTTTAATTAAAAAAGAAAAAGAAAGTCATCAGGAAACTAATTAAAAATAGACATTAGTTTCAGGCCTGCCTATAAACAAGAAGTCAATAATTATTACATAAAGAGACTCAGGAGCGGTGGCACTTAAAGAAATTTCGCATTTGCATCCAGCTCACTTGAAAGAATAAAATTATTAATTCTTATAAAATATTTAATGCATATTGATAATCTTATAGCATCTAATTATAATGTTCTACATTTTTTTTCTAAGTTAATAAAGGTCAACTGGAACTGCAAAAGCTAAGATGCATTTATGACAAGTTCCATGTTTATAACTAGATGTCTTTGGCGACTCACACACATACCTCTTTGGGGGCAAAGCTCTATAAACTCGCACTGGCCCTGCGTCAGCGAGACATTCCTATGTGTTTCCATTAAATAACTGTACAAATCTTTTTCTGTAACATGGCTTTTCTGCAGTCCTTTCCATAAAGAATGATTTTCTGTTCTAGATATCACTGGATTGGGAGCTCAATAAGGCAAGAGGCTTTCCCACGGCTACATTGCTCACGTGTGACGGTCCGGAAGCTGAGCTCTGATACTGGACTCCTGGTAAAGTGCTCATCCCAGCTCCACGCAAGACGAGGAGCATGGTCTTGTGATACTGAGGACACGGATCCCTGCTTTCTACAGGTGAGGACTGGAAGTGAAGGCTGTGAGATTTCCCCGTTCATTTTTTTTCTCTAATCACTTTCTGCCTGGGCTTAGAGAAGCCCCTCTTGAAGTCAGAAAAGGACTGGTGTCAGTGAAAAGTCACCCTGTTTTCTGGGGTGTGCAAAGAAAGCAGCCATAGCAGGGCAGAGTACATTGGAGACATATCTGCAGTCTTTGCAAAACTGTCTCATCGGATCCTAGCTGTTATAATCAAAATCCAAATGACGACGTCTTCGGTGACGTTTCATGGCCCCATAACCATTGCATCTGCTTGGGTTTAGCATTTGTATCCCCATGCAGTGGTATTATGTGGTATAAGATCAAGTAATTCCATAGCATCTCAGGAAGAAGAAGAATGTATGCAATAGCAAAGCATTCCAGATTTCCTCCTTGTTCTCTCACTACGTGGCGTTCGTAGGAGTGCCTTCATGGCAGTGACACCCGGGGCTTCCAATTTTGCCTGCAAAAGGTGCTGAACCTGAATCCAATCCTGATGTTGAAACTTCTTTCATGGGGCAGAGGGTTTACTTTGGGAAAAGCTGCTCATGTCTTGTGTTCCTACCTAGAGCATAAGATACAGAAACCATGCCTCATTTGGGAGAACTGTGAAATTTGTCACCCAAACAGGGGGATGGAGATTCCAGGCACAAGCTGGGACCATCCCAGACAAAAAGGAATATGTTCACCCTTCTTATTCTTCCTAACATTTTGTCCTTAACACATAATAAGTGCCTAGTAAACTCTGTTGAAAAAAACGAGCTTTGACATCCAAAATATGATCCGTGGAGAACCAGCCTAGTCATTACCTGGGAGCATGTTAGAAACCCAGAATCTTACACCCCACTCCAGATTTATTGAATCAGAATCTGCATTTTAAATTCATCTGCACTTTAAAGTTAGAACGTTTTGGAGTTGGCACAGATGCAGTGGTTTTATAATTTGGCCACCCATTAGAATCATGAGTTTTGAAAAATACACAGATTCACCATTTCATATGAACCAATAATTCCACTCCTTGGAATATAATTTAGAGAAACCATCATGCATATGCACAAGGGGATATGTTCAAAAGTGTCCACCACTGTACTCAGGCCAGCCAGACAAGTTCAAAGGAGTGAGGACTGTAGTTTTTGTCTAATCCCACACCTTTGGTAATACATCCCTTTGGACATGCTTCATTTGTCATTATTCCTGTAACTTCTTGATCTGTGTGATTTCAGAGGGGCTCATAAACACGGACTTCTCTGCCCTGACCACATGGGCTAGAATGTGACCCAGACTAAACAAATCTCTCCTCCCTGCCAATACTAATTGGTACAGGGAGAGGGGACATGTGATCTAACTAACCAATCAGAAATCTTCCCTGGGATTTTTCTGCATGGATACTGGGAGAGAAAAACAGTATCTTTCCTCTGAGCTATAAATGAGAGCATTGCAGGCCTCAGCTGCTTTTAGCTATAGTTGCCTAGTCCTCAGTCACATGAAAGAAGCCATTGGTATAGGGTGTGAGAAATTTAGACAAAAGATAATGACACTATCTGATTCCTGGGATCCATTTCCTTTTTTTCCTCTTATAGGAACAGTTATGTATCTTTTGCTTAAATACATAAATGTTAGATTTCTCAGTTGGCACCAACCAACATTGGCTTTATGAAAACATATCCTAAGATAAGCTCTCTCATAGCACAAGTCTGTTTAGTGCCTGATTACAAGATCAATTATCATTAATTTGCAAACTCATATGACAAAAGTCTAATGTTCCTTATATTTAACAGTTTCAAAGTGTTTCTCACCCACTCACTCTATTTGATTAAATAATCTAAGAATTTTGTCTCCTGTACCACTTAGGAGATACATTGGCCTGCTAGGAATAGAGATCCATCTATAATGATCTGAACACACCAGAATTTATTAATTAACGTGAGAGTGGTCTGAAGGTAAATAGTTCAGAACTCTTGTAGTGGCTTCACAGGGTCAGCTCGGACACATGGTATCTTTTATGTTTCTATTTTGTTAACTCAAACACTGATTTCCATATACAAATTCTCCTCACAGTCCAAGGTGGCTGTTGGGGTTCCAGCCATCACATCTACATTATAAGAAGCAGAAATGAGGAAGAGTAGTTATGAGAGAACAGGAGTTTCTCTTTAGGCCAAGATGGTTTTCAGTATTTAATGTTTAAAAATTTCTACACAACACTTCCCCTTCATCAAAACTATACATGAGACTGAAAATATAGCCTTTGAACTTACACAAGGATACTTTGAAAAAAAAAAAATCGGATTCTGCTACCAAATAAGAAAGAGAGAACAGATATGAGGCAGGAAGTTAGCAAGTATCCATCAGCCTTTCCAAATCAGTGTGGATCCTTTTTAGCTTTGGGGAATTCATCCCTGGTCAAACCACACCATCGTCCTCAAAGAAGGTTATACAATCAAGACGGATGGATTGGAGATAAGTTTCAAGAAATGATTTTTCCCCCATAATAAGTGAAGGGGGGTTCACATGGGAGAGTGGCAGCACAGGGCAGTGGCCCAGGTGTGGGCTGCTGGGAGGGCTCGGGGATGCTTTCTGGGGGAATAATCATGTCTGTGCCGAGTCTTGGTGAAGCAAGACAGGGTGGGCAGGCCTTTCTAGCCCAGCGATAGCAAAGCACATAACGGAAGTGACTGAAGCTACTTCTCAGAGCAACTTACACGCTCTCCCTCAGGGACCATCACCCCAGAGCAGGCGTCCTCAAACTACGGCCCGAGGGCCACGTGCGGGCTGCCTGGCACATTTATCCGGCCCTCCGGGTGTTTTTGCCACCGCTGCCTGTCCTGCTTAGCAGCCGACTGGTCCCAGGCCCACAGTGTGAACTGGCCCCCTGTTTAAAAAGTTTGAGGACCCCTGCCCTAGAGCAAGGTTAGCAAACTTTTTATGTAAAAGGCCAGATAATAAATATTTTGGGCTGTGTGGTCATACATTCCCTATGGCAAGCACTCAACTTGGTCCCGTTGTAGCAAGAAAGCTGCCAAAACAATAGGTAAATGGGTGGACTTGACTGTGTCCTGGCACGACTTTATTTTGCCGTGACAGCCGCAGTTTGCCAGCCTCTGCCCTTGAGGAAAGGCTGAACTATTCTTCTGGTGTCCTTGTAGAAGATAGCATAATATTGTTGGCAGGTGAAGAAGCCATCAAAAAAAAATACAAACAAAAAAATCTAGGAAAAATCCGATTGCCTGTGTTAAACAGAAAACTTCAGAAATTATTGTCATTATTCTGGATTTTGTGACTTTTTTTTTTCCAGCTTTTTAAAATTTGCAACATGCCACCATTTTATTCTCTGAAATGGGTGTCACCTTAATGTCTAAATTGTTACGGGTACTCTGCTTTTGCCTTCCTTTTCCTTGAAGAGGGCCTCCAAAACTGTATCTGCTTTCAGCCCTACAAAATCCAGATCCATTCTTGCCCAGAGGCATGAGAAAATTGCACATTGGGGGAACCGCAAGTAATTTGGCATTGCTCATGCAAAATAGTGAGGCGATTAAAATCACAGTTGGAAGGCCTGGGTCGAAATCCGGGGTATTACCACTTATTAGCTGTAAGACTTGAAAACGTTATTTTCCTACCCCCCTCCCCATTTATTTTTTCATCTGTACAAGGGAGATAAGAACACCGTTGGCCTTGAAGCATTGCTGGGGGTGGGGGGATGAGAGGAGATGATTCATGCACAGGGCTCAGTGTAAAGGGCTGCACACAGTGAGGGCTTAATAAATGCTGGTGGTGTGAGGACAGTAAGCAGACTGCAGAGGCATGGGGCTGCGGCGGGTGTGCAAATGGGGCCCGATTTGAAGGACCCTTTATGCCACAACAGGAATCTGGAATCCACCTCGTGGAGGACGGGGAATTCAGGGGTGTCGGTCCAAGACTGGCCTGCTCAGGTTTTCATGAGCTCCTGGAAACCGTGAGTGACCGACGCTAAGAAAGGAAGCCAACTAGGCCCCGCTCAGTCAATACCTGCAGTGTCAGCAAACTTGGAGGTTTAGTTTCCAAAACCCCTCCCGGGGACATCTTCAGCTGAGTTATATCACCCGGCATCAGGGGCCCAGAGCAGAAGGAAATGAAATGCACCAGCGGAGGCCGGGGGAGTCCTAAAGGACGGGTGTAATTAAAGCCATCCATCCACGTTGCTGGGCGCGGGAAGGCGGGGGTGGGCGTCGGATCAAAGAGTGGCGACCCGGGCCAAGCCCCCGGCTGTTCCTCAGCACCCCAGGTAGAGCCGTCCCTCCTCCCAGTGACAGGGCAGAGGACTCGGAGCATGCACCGCCTGCCTCTTCATTCTTTCGCTGAAAGCTCAGTTAGTCTCCCAGGCGGCAAGGCCAGGCAGTGTTACCGGAAAATGCCCGGGCACAGGGGTCCTGCCTCATTCGTGAAAAACGCCAGACCGTGGAGGCCTGGACTGGACGAGGAATATCCTATACTCTGCCCTGGTGCTTCAGATTTTTTTTTGTAACTTTTGACACAATTGAAATAATAATAAACCTCTTTCTGTAATACCTTATTAAATATTAGGTTATCAGTCTTAGCGATTGGCTGTATGATCGTAGAGAACATGCTTGCTTTATTTACTCTGTCCCCAGGGCCCAGCATGGTGGAGGCACACGGTATATTCACCGATGTTTGTCGTGTGAATAAGTCGGTAATGTAGAAGGGATGGTCTGGTAGGCCTAGGTGTTAAGCGTGGGAGGCTTAACCTTTTTTACCTGTGTAGATGCCCTGTTAACCTGTATTAACTTGGGTCAGGAGTGTCTCCTTCGCTCATTCTTTTTTCCGTTTTTAAAACAGCTTTATGGAGCTATAACTCACATGCCAACCACTTTGCCCATTCGAAATTTACTGTTCGATGGCTTTTAGTAAATTTGTAGAGTTGTGTACCGATCACTACAATCAATTTTGGAACGTTTCTATTTCCTGAAAGAAACTCCGTGCCCCTCAGC